AAAAAACCTTCCATCATCCAGCGGTCAATGAATCCGATAAAATATGTCTTAGACCCTCACAAAAGCCAGACAAGTCATTAATTCAACTCTGAGCAGTAGATAATAAAATAGGCACAGAAGGAAAATAAGGGTTCTGCAATAATAACATACGTACAGCGAACAGGATGGAAAACCAGCTGCACAAAGAATCGTCATTACACAATACAGATTTATGGTTCAACATTAAACCGAAACTTTCACAATAAGTACGACTTACATGATGCAATCCGCACATTCACAAATCGATAACTATACAACACTTTTGAGACCTACACACCATCGCCAATAGGCGAATAACAACACCAAGTGTACCAGACATTAGTTCATAAGCTAGAAGCTCCACCAATTCATAGACTACCCAGAAATTCAAAAACACAGAGAAGTAGACCGCCAAAAGTACTTCTAACTGATAACAAAAATTCACATCGAGTTGATCAGACGACGTTGATCGCCACGCAACCATGACTACCACACAGATATAACAGCCAAATGAACAAATGTACACACATAAACATCACCACCACGACCACTACCATCACACAAAGTCTGCCACACAAAATAAACTAGCATTGTCACCGTCATTGACGACAAACACTCAACGCCTCCTCCTGCTCCTTTTGTCAGTTTCATTACTGCATCATACTGACTTTCAGAACCTGTTACGTAACTGAGCTGCTGAAAAATTTACCTATTTGAACCAAAAAAAAAACTGCCTCTGCCACTATTTCAAGCTGCAGGAAGCTGAACCTAAACCATCTGAAACAACTTACAGCATACAAAAGCGAATTTGGTTATACTAGCTGACGACCAAAAAAAAAAAAATGAAAGAAAAAATGTTTCATCTAGATATCAATGACACCGACTTTTATACAAAACCTACATTAACAGACGATACAGCACTATTAACTGGTGAAAAGCTATGACTGCAAAAAATTGATAAAGTGAGCAATGACAAAAAGAAAAAAAAAACTAGAGAAAAAAGTGAAGAGAAAAAGCAATCAAAAAGCAAATCGAAGTACCAGCCAGTACCCAGATCAAAACTGTAAATGTACATCGGGCTATTTAACCACAAAATCGTGACTTCAGCGGAAGGGGAAAAGCCTTAAGCGAGATTAAATAAATAACAACTGTGTGTCTGTACGTGTGGATGTGCCTATAACAGCAATGTCAGAAGTATGGAGAAAGAAACTGATTACTTCATCGATACGGTTGAAACTAACAAACCGTGCAAACAATCACCGTTACAACAAACACCTAAGATGTTCCACTACACTCCACTACACAAATAAATCCAACCAAACAGCTCTTAATTTTTCGTCAACTTTTCTCTGATTGATCTTCATGCTATATCAATAGCACTAACTCTCTTTATTTTCTACAATTAAGTGAGCTAAGAACAAAGTAAAAAAACTTAAATTAAAACGAAGAAATGAAATGTTCAGAAATGACTCGTTGCTGTTCGAAGCGAAAAATGACGGACGACTGTGGAACTCTGAAAGACTTGTGTAAACATGACAAAAAGAATAAGGAATAAACTTGTAACCAAAAGAGTGAGGAAAGAAGGTTTCATAGAAACCATCGCCTTTGAAACGAACCATTAAAATTATCAGCAAAGTTAGTTTAGTTCTGCTTTGGCATTTCAAACCTCAGAATTTCTCTTCGTTCTTCCCCTCTTCCCCTTCTTCCTAAACTCAATTTTAAAGTAGCAACAACGGCATGAATAACTTCGTCGGCGACACGGCCCTTATAATACCGCAAAACTACTGCACAGCCTAAATGCTATAAAAACCAATACTTTTAATAATGTTAATAGTAATGGTAATAACATTAATAGTAATCGCAATAATATTAATAGTAATCGTAATAATAGTAATAGTGATGGTAATAATAGTAATAGTAACGGTAATGGTAGTAATAGTAATGGTAATAGTAGTAATAGTAATGGTAATAGCAGTAATAGTAATGGTAATAGTAGTAAAAGTAATGGTAATGGTAGTAATAGCAATGGTAATAGTAGTAACAGTAATG